CCCCCCCCCCTTGTAAAAGGTAATATTTGGTTTCTGCAGTACCTGCATATTGAATTGGAATGCTAATGCTGTGGAGTTCAAGTGGGTGTATATTATGTTAGAAGTGTTATCCCTTGGTGTTATAATTATTATCTATGATTAATCCTGCCTGTGCTGGTAAGGAGTAAGAGATTTTTACCAGAGGGGCATGTTTTTCTGTGTGTGTTTGCTTACGTATAACATAAATTGACAAGAAATCTGGTTAGAGAAATGATGGTGACTGCATCTGCGGTGGGTTTGGGGAATTTGTGGCAGATGGACAGGAGACTGATTTTGTCTGTTTGTAACATAGGTGATTGCTATAATTTTAGGAGTTTGTGAGGTAACAATCCAGTTTTGAGTTTATTTTTGTTGTTGTATGGAGACTTGTGTCCTGTGCTTTTATTTAAAAATTAAATGTTGGCAAACAAAGTTTTGGTGCACACTTAAAAAGACAAATCTGCACACGAGACTTCAGCAGTTTCAATAATGAATTACATTATTAAACTATATTTATTCTTAAGTATGCAACATTTTTGGGTTTTAGTAACAAAAATTGATTATAGTTTGGAGAAAAAAGAAGCTGAAAAGCTCATGATTTTAAGGTCATATGGGAGGACATTTATGACACAGCTGCTTTCCTTGAGCTGGATACTAAAATAAATTAATTAAATGTTAAAAGTATCTTAATAATTTTTATTGAGCAAATATTAAAGCATTTTAACCTGCATTACTGTTGAAAGTTTTTTATTTGTGTGTGTATATATTCAAGTTAACAATTCACTATAGCAATTGTGGGGCTTAAATTCAGCAAGAGAATTATTTTCTGTACATGTTTTCATAAAGGTAGGGTTAATGATACCAGCAGCATGGTTGCCTTCCAAACTAAGAGCGGACTTCCTTTTCCCTTATTTCTTTACCATCATTAGATGCCATGGCTGTTTTAAAAGGATTGCTTGACAGTGGCTTGTTGCCTGCTAGACCAGCAGTTATTGCGCTCACTCAGACTCTGGCAGAAAAAGGAGATTTGAAGAAACTGCAAGCACTTAAAAACATGCTGGAAGGCGTCACAAAATCAATTGGAGTGTCTGCCTCACTAATTGCTAATGCTATTGCATTGGCTCTTACTAAGAAGTAAGTATTTCTAGGAGTGGTATATGTAATTCTTCTATGCAGAGTGGTGGGAAATCACTTGCATTATCCATTTTATTCCCTTTCTGTTCTCAGAGTCTTCTAGATGTTAAAATTCTGGTCAAGGTGAGCAGTGTGCTGTGCAATTCTGTTCCGATGTTGTTTCCCAAACACATTTGGGGTTGAACATCATTTAATGAAATGCAGGGATAGCTATGAAGCATTTGGGAGAGCATAAAGTCTTCTCTGGTAGTGTAATTTAGCTTTGATACCTTTGTTCTAAAGTATTACACCCTATGTAAAGTGTTCTTTTTGGTGTTAGATCACAAGCCCTATGAAACCTGAATGTAAAATTGAATTACTTCATCAATATATATATAAAAGATCTTGGAACTTAACACCCACAGCTTATGCATATAATACTTGTTTGAAAACAAAAATCTGCTACCTGTTACAGTAGTTAAAATGACAACATAGTATTGTCTTTACCCTCAAAATGTGAAAGCCAGACATATATCTGTGGAGTGGTTTGTTCTGGGGTTTTTTTGTGTTTTGGGTTTTTTGGTGGTTTTTTTTTTTTTGTCAGAATTATAAAAAATTGGCTGCTGTGCTGTTTTAGGCCACAGTTTTGATCATGGTAATTATCCCCACAGTTTGAGTATCCTTTGATTCAACTGTTTAATTCAGTATTACATTCTGCCTAGCATTTTTGTTGATACATTGCTACTGTGCTAGTTTATCCTTTGTATAAAACTGCATGGGGGAAGCACTTCTGAGAGAAAGGGCATACTATGAACTTCTCAGATATGCTTTGCAGGAACCAGTCTTCAGGAATCCTACATACTCTGTTATTTTATTTCAAACCAGTTTCATCAGGTAGAGCTTCTGTGTCTAACTTAGCAGGAAAGCTGTAGAACTGTGTAGTACATAACAGATACCTGATTGCCTCAGGCATGCCAGACCAGAGAGAATAGTCACTGAAGTGTTTGGAACAGCAAGAAGACTTGAACTGAAGGAGAACCATGCAGGCCAGTTGCAGTAGTGACCTCACTATATTTTCAGCCACTGAAAAACAATCTCTATAAAGGACTGATCCCATAAACACTTAGATCTGAGTGGTCCTTGGCGCACAGCTCTAGTGCATTGACTTTTGCCCAAACTAAATACTCCAAATAGGAATGTTCAGGATTTGTCTCGTAAGCTGCATATTGTCCTATATTTCCATGTCATAAAAGTGTTGCAAAGTCATGCCATGTTCTTACGATGTAGATTGGTGACAAGAATAAATAAATAAATAAATTGCTGTATGCAGGCACAGGTTATTTAAGCAGCATCAGCTGCATTTTACTAGCATTTGCTATACTTAGGCCATAAGATTAAAAGTGTTTAGACAAAGGTACTGACCAAATGACACTTAATGTTATCTTTTGCATCCAAAAAGGCAGGCATAGGAAAACTCGGGTAAATAATTAATTGAATAGCATTAAAAAAAAAAGTACTTGAGTTGCGTGTATTAATTATTCAGATACCTTCTGTTAATGTTTTGGTTTTGCCTTCTGGATTTGCAGAACACACTTTCCTAAAGCAGCTAGTTGAACTGTTCTTTCTTAATGAAGAAAAAAGTCTGTCAAAATTACTTAGGCTTCGTACAGTTCAAAGGTCATTAAAAATATTTTACTTACGGGTTAATTTATTCATTCAGTCATAAATGGTTTCACTTTTACAATATCTGGATGAAGTCATAGGTACTTAACCATTCCTGGGAAACAGAACCTTAATGTAAAAACCAAAAGCTTCAATGTAATTGCTTCTCTAGGTTTAGAAATCTTGATTTAAGAAACTAAGCCAGTTCAATCTGTTTTCCTAGCAATGACCTTGATGCTGCTGTGGAGTACCTTGAGCCTCTGCTTATCTCTGGTGCACAGAATCCTGATGGAGCTGTCAGAAATATTTCCTATTTGTTAAGAAAAGTGTCTGAGGAAGGATTAGAACCAGCTTTGGAAAAATGTAAGTTAACTGCAATGATATTTAAATATTCTGACTAGACAGAGGTGTTATGGAAGAGCTGTTACATGTAAAACCTGCTCAGTCAGCATAAATCATGCCTGAAGTTTACAAAAGCGGCTTTTCAATCAAAGATTTTCCTTATGTACCCATCATTTTGCAGTTGGTGTGATGGCAGAACGACTGGCCAGTCAGTTTGGAATTTACAGACCTGTCACAGATCTTTTCCTTCAATATGTCAGTGCAGACAGAGTGGATGATGCCAGATCGCTGATACAGGTAATGACATAACAAGAGAGGTACAGAAATGCTTAGAGCTTTCCAGCTCTAAGGTTAACTGAGAAATTGTCGAAAAGAGGTGTAGGCTGGTACTAGTATGCTTTTGAATTACAGTGTGAGTAGCAGTAGCACAGTGTAGACTATTCCAAACCAGGAGCTAGTACTAATAGGAGTAGTGGGTGCCAGAGCTGGAAGGTTTTTTGTCTTCTAACAACCTGAAGGAAATAAAGGAAGATTTGTATATTGCTTGAAATTCCATCCAAAGCAAATATGCTTTTGTAAGTTTTCTGCTAGACAGCAGTTGCTTCTCGCAAACCATTTTCTTGCAACTTCTCACATAATTTTTTAAGTGCTGTAAACATAATAATATCTTACAGGTGTACAATTTGTAAACCAGAAGCAGGCAACGTTTGGTTTTCATGGACCTTATTTCACTTGGTTGCTGTATTCAAGTTTATTAAGAGCTGAATTTGAGTGAATTTTCAGTTCTCTTGAGTGTCACAGATTCATTAGAAGACAAATGCTGGTCTCTGGGCCACAGTGTCAGTTGTTAGTGATCTTCAGGGAATCAGACAGCTGCATTCGTGCCATTTGTACAGAGCTAAAGACAAAGCTGAGCCAGAGGTGGGATGAACCCTGGGTGATGGGAGCTGCCTCTGGCAGTGTGCACGGTCCTCCTCAGGGAGGCCCATCCCAGCAGGTGGCAGTCCAGCAGTCACGCCGATTCTGCAGCTTGTTCTGTGTGCATAGGCTCCTGCCTCAAACTGAGGCCTTTTACCATCTCCTGGTAGTGCATACTACTCATTTACCAGTTCCAAAGTGGTTTAAGCTGTTAAAGAAAAAGCTTTGCTTCATCCATCAGATGTTTTACGATATTCCAATACCATTTTTTGAGAAGAATGCATACCAACAAATGTGTTCAGTTACTTCTGCTACAGTGTAAGGTGTATTAGTTGTATATTCCCTGCTCTGGAATATTACTTTGTTTATTGCTTAGCCTAAAGGGTCATCTGAGTACTAAATTAAAAGGAGACTACAATTTTGATATAAAACCCTCTTGCTATATAGCATGAAACATCAAAATGCAAAAAAATCTCAAGTTATCTTACTCTTCCTGATTTTTTGATTGCTCTTTGATTGAAATGAATGAAATTGAATGAGTGAATGAAAATTGGTTACAATTTCTTGCTTTTGTGAAGATAGGGTTTTGCATTTTTAAGTAAAATCTGCATGTTCTTAGAATTTTTCAAAAAATGGAATAAATTCCATTCAGATATCCTAAAACGTCTTATTACAACAGCATCCAACTGTTGGAATTAAATTCGTGGCTCTATAGCATACTTGAAATAACATTGTATATGCTATATCTTGGGGAGAATTTTAAAATACTTCATGTTAAGTGGATATTCACAGATAAGCTTGAGTTGAAATTTCTGTGTATATGAGAAAATTTGTTTTTGTGTGGTGCTGGAAAGACTTTCAGTTGTGTTGAACATTCTTGACTGCTATTGTGGATCGAGTATTCTATTAATAGGTAACTAGGAGATAGTAATAATCACTGTCCATTGCCTGTTATTTTCTTGAAAAGTAAACCACAATCTAAAGGAATTATTTTGCTTGTAATAATCTGAAATATTGGTTTACACATGGAGAATCCTTGCTTTCAAAAATGCATCCAAGAGTGTATTTAAAGGTTCAAGAAACAGCAACAGTGTCTTTTTTTTACTGTCTGGAGGGAGAATGCTTTTACTGATGAAAGTCAAAAGTGGTTTGATATTTCAGCGTGAAAGGGGGCTGTGAAAAACATTTCTCCAACTAGACTGTCTCTTTCTGCTCCTCTCAGAGCATCCTTATTTCTTATACTGACAGTAGGTGACAATGGCTAGAATCAGTAAATAAAACGTTGCAAGTTTCTCCCATGAATATTTCACCTCTGTTTATCACCGTAAAGCGATATTTTTTTTTTTTTTTTTTTTTTTGGTCAGAACACTATGGGTACGTTTTAGCCTCAGTTTGCCTGATGCAATGAGGCTTCACACCCTTTCACCTGAACCTTAAAGAACTTGTCAAACCATATTACATACACATACAGCACATTCATAATGGCATAAACCAAAATTTGTTTGCATGTGTCTAGAATACTAATTGAATGTAGTAAATTCATGGTATGTGGGTTTTTATATGTACAATATTCTCTTCTTCCTGTGCATTTCGGTACTGATAAAAATATCTTGCAGCTGGTAAACAGCACTGTGCATTGTAAGAATTTTAAGACTGGCACCTTTGAGGAACATACCCTAAAATATTGTCTTGTATATTTTATTTTGCCCTTGTTTCTGAAGTAAAATAGATTTTTGATTTATCTGGTCTGTCTCAAACTTTTTTAAGTTCAACTTCTCTCTCTCTCAAACACTGTCTATTGCAGTGAAAGCCTTTTATAAAATAGAGAGATTGAAATCAGTCCTTTGTATGCATAAGTGTAGGTAATTATACTTTAAAGAGAACTTGCTTTGTACATTTTAATTTTTATAAAGAAACGAGCAGTTATCTCCCTGACACCTTATTAAATGTATAATTAACCTTATGATCCCTAGCTCACTTGTGAATGCTTGGCAGTATAATTGGAGAGGAATAGTGTTTTTCTTTTTCATTCTTTTGCAGTCCTAAACCTCGTTTTTGTGGTGTGTTGAAGTATTAGTTTAATTCTTTCCCCTTTTGTTTTAAACAAACTTTATACCTATCATTTTAAAAACAATGTTTACCAAAATGGTGCATGAAATGAACTTGTTTCCTATGTTCTGTGGTGGGGTG